ATAAGTGCCCTGGGAGACATGGATATTTTCTTGCTCTCTGTGCTTTGTCCTGTCATGCTGTAAATGTTGGTGGAGATTCTCCAAAGAATCTGTAGCATGCTGATTGCAGACACAGCACTGAAACATTCTGGAAGCATCTGGAATATGTGGGTCAAAGGACATACCCATTCCTCCATTTTCTTTTCTCAGATCTACTGGGATTTCTCCAAATTGGCCTTGAAGGCCTGCCATGATCATGGATTGGTCGAACTGAAAATTGACATTTCCAGGGACTGGAGATGAGATACCAGCTAAGAATGCTGGATCATTCTGCATTAGCATGAGTTGATTCATTTGCTGAATCTGCATATCACGCTGCATGTGCTTCATGTTTTGCTGTAGTACCATCATATTGTGGGTGTGTTTTTCGCTCGTCATATGAATGCGCAAGTTTCGAGCAACATTTGTTTCATAGTTGCAGACATCACATCTCCAGGTTGGTTTTGGCTTGTTCTTCTTCAAGTGGCTTAGAGGGTCTGCAGCTGCAGGTGGCTGAGGTGGTTGAGCAGGTAGCTGCTGAGGAATCTTCATCTCTGCATTCCCATTGGCCAATTCCTGAACATTATTCAAATGCTTGTCCGACTGCATGTGGATGCTCAAGTTCCCTTTGGTTGTTGTGGAGTAATTACAAACTTCACAACGGTATGGCTTGTACCCACAGGAATAACTTTCACCCCTGGCAAGCCTTGGATGAGGTTGGCTTGATATACAGTACATGCACTGCTGATCATTATCAGGATGTTTTTCTTTCATATGGATTTCCAAAGTTTCTTGATACTTGTAATGCCAGTTACATTTTGGACATTTCAGGGTCTTACAAGAGTTTCGAGAATGCATCATGGTCATGTGACCCCCCAAGGACTGAGAGGATCCAAGGACCATATCACATTTAGGACACTCCACTCCTTGCACCCTTCCCTGTGGGTGCTCATCACAGACTGTTAAAAACATCATGGAGTGGCTGGGATTTGCCACTGAAATGGTTGAAGGAGCAAAGAGCTGAGAATTGCTGGAGGTAATCTGGCTTTTAGTGAAAGATTCACTGCTTTGTTTCATTTTCTGTAGGAAACTAGACTCTTGTGAAGAATCAATCCTCCTGATACCTGAGATCTCCAATGATGACATCTCATCATCAGCTGAATTTTCATCATCATTGTAACCATTGGTAGAACTTCTGTCATTGTGCAGAAAAGAGTCAGACTCAGATTCCCTTCTCAATGAATGTCCCTGAGAATTTTCAGATGAGGATTTCCCAGAATTCAACTGTAAAAATGGCGGTGAAGAAAGTTTTGGTTTGGAATAAACAAAACTAACTGAAGTATTACTTCCTATGGAACCGTATGATGAATTCTTGATGCTACTGGGAGGAAATGCTTGTGAAGCGGATGATGATGACTGAAGTTTTGGAGAAGATGTAAGAGGTTTTGGTTCCAAAAATGACATGAGTGGTTCCTTCTCCATACCGACACACTGGATGATTGCGGATGCATTTTTCTTTGACATAATGTCCTTTTCCAGATCATTGAGAGACATTGAATGTTCTGAGGAAGCATGTGCCATGAAAGACTTTGCATATCCAAAAGAGAGTTTACATATAAAGCACATTAATATGGGTTTTGTTGGGACCAAGCTTTCATCTGAGGTAGAATTTTTCTCCACTTCAATATCACGCTCCGATTTTCCTCTTCGTACATCATACACTCTGTAACTGAACATGATCGGTGCTGGGCAAGGAGAAGATGGAATGCTGTACATATTTTTAAAGTTTTTTGACACAAAGAAAGCATTTGCTATGTGAGGAAATGCTGGGACTTGTGATGCAACATTGCTTCCTTTCTTGTCAACAATGATGTTTTCTTGATTTGGCAAGTCAATAATGGAGTCAAGGTCACTGAGGTCGGAATCTCCCCCTTCAATGATGTAAGCCGAGCCATCAGAATTATACACAATTTTCCCGTCAAAGCTCTCCCCCTCACTCAGATCTCCATCGTTGGAAGCCGGTGTGGAGTCAGAATTCCCAGGGTCCGAGGCTTTCATGGCACAAGTGTGTTCCATATAGGCCTGCATGGAAGGGAAATCCAGATTGCAGTTGTCGCAGTCCACTGGCTCATTATCATCCGAGAGGTCACCCAGCCTGTTTGACTCAGACTCAACTCGATCCTCCGAGTTTGAACTATCGTCCGACTCATCACTGTCAATAGAACTTTCGGGACCGTTGCTCTTGACTACACTAGAAGCACTATTACACAGAGATTTTTCTTTGGGTTTGTCAAGTCTGTCATGTTTATACTGACTCTCAGAGGCACTGAACTTCATAGCTCCATAGGAGTTAGGGGTGGAGGTCAGTGTAAGAGCCATGTCAGTGTTGTTATGGTTACCAGGAGGGGGTGTTAGGGACTGGAATTCCATACTGAAGACATCTCAGGCATGTCCTGATCCTACACCATGGTACCATTCACAC